AGTGAGTGAGTGAATGAGTGAGTGAGTGAGAAAGTGAGTGAGTGAATGAGTGAGTGAGTGAGAAAGTGAGTGAGTGAATGAGAGAGTCAATGAGGGAGTGAGAGTGAGAGTGAGTGAGGCAGTGAGTGAGAAAGAGAGTGAGTGAGAGCGAGTGAGTGAGTGAACGAGAGCGTGAGTGAGTCAGTGAGTCGGTGAGTGAACGAGAGCGTGAGTGAGTCAGTGAGTGAGCGAGAGTGAGTGAGTGAGTGAGAGTCAGTGAGTCAGTGAGCGAGAGCGAGTGAGCGAGTGAGTGGGTGAGTGAGAGTCAGTGAGTCAGTGAGCGAGAGCGAGTGAGCGAGTGAGTGGGTGAGTGAGCGAGTGAGTGAGAGTGAGGGTGAGAGAGAGAGAGAGAGTGCCATCAAGTCCATTCTGATGACTCATATCCACCTTATAGGACACAGGAGAACTGCCCCTGTGTAACATTCCTTACATTCAAGAAGCAAATTCAGAGTGAAAATCACTGTTCTGGAAGGAAATATCCAGCAATAACCTAACCAAATACTGTAACTTTTCCAAGAAATGGTTGTTTTGGAGACTTGGAACTGTAGGATGTGGCACGCTGGTGTGCCATTGGCTTCCAAGAGTCCCAGGAATGTTCTGTGTAAAGAGTGAGACCAGAGGGCAGGAGGGGCTGGCAGTTTTCAACTCTCGAGAATTCAAAGGCCAAACTCAAAGTGCAGTCTTCTGCCCATCATGTTAGAGCCAAGAGTGAAATCCTCTCTGATGACCAACACACGGCACTAAAATGCCTGCTGGTGGGCATCCCCTTCACTCCAGCCCATGAGAGAGCCTGGCTCGCGTGATGAACCACCACTCTGCACAAAGGGAGGAGCTGTGCGCCGCTAGGCTGACAGGGACTCTCAGTAAGGCCTCACCGCGCGCAAAAAGGGATCACACAAAAGTTTCAAAGAGTCTCGAAGAATCTTAGGAATAAATATTTGGAGTAAGCAATTGGAACATTAGAAGAAAAAGCTTCTTCAGAAGGGGATCAAGCTATGAAAGCGAGAGTAATTACCCCTAAAGAAACAAAAGTTCATACAAAAGCTCATTCACGAAGAAACAGATACCCCAAATAGCCTAGATCTATTAAAGAAATTAAACAAATAGTTTAAAATCTCCCCATGAGCCCAACTCCAAGTCGAGATGGCTTCACTGGTGAATTCCAGGCAATATTTAAGGAAGAGAGAATATCAAATCCACATTCTCTCCCTAGAAAATTAGCAAAGGAATGCTACACAACTTAGTCTACGAGACCAGCATCACCAATGCCAACACCAGAGATATAAGGAAACTACAGACCCACAACTTTCCCACAGTGGAAACACTCCTAACGAAAATTTGGCAAATCAGATACAATGTATACACACACACACACACACACACACACACACACACACACAATAACATACTATGATCAAGTGAGGGTTTCAAAAATCATTCAGTGTTTTTAATTATTGTAGTTTAACATATTTATACATTACGAAAGGAAAACTAAGTGATCATCTCAATGGATGCTGAAAAGAATTAGAGAAGAATCCAATATCCATTCTTGATTAAAACTTTCGGAAAACTACAAATAGACGAGAACATCTTCAAGCCAATGAAGAGCATCAATGAAAACCCAAAGCTAACAACACTCAACAGTGAAAGACTACCCACTTTCCTTCTGAGGCCAGGAGCTAAGCAGAGATGTCCATTTTCTCACCAATTCTTTCCAACATTTTCCTGGAGATGTAGCCACTTGTATGAGGCAACAAAAAAGAAAGATATCTAAATAGAAAAGAATAAAGTAAACTCTTAAATTGTACACGATATAGGACTGTCTGTGTAGGAAACTGAAATAAGTGGTCATTAGGTCGAAGGACATAAGGGCACTACTTTAAAAACTGGGTGCATTTCTAGATGGCAGTGATTGACACTGGCAATTTAAAAAATAAAACTACGTAAAATAAGACAAAAATATGAAGTACAGCTCCATTTGTCAAAGCTCTGGCAATGGGCTGCTAACTGTAAGTTCAGCAGTTTGAAACCACCAGCCAGCCACTCTGTGAGAGAAAGAGGAGGCTTTCTACTCCATAAAGAGTTACAGTCTCGGAAACCCACAGGGGCAGTTCCACCCTGTCCGACAGGGTCCTCTGTGAGTCAGAACTGACTTGCTTACCTAGAGTTTTATGCAAGACCTGCACACAGAAAACGACTGAGAAACTGCTGAAAGAAAATAAACTAGGCCTTACTAAATGGAGAGCTAGATCGTGCTCACAAATCAGAGGGCTCAATAATCTCCAAATGGACCTACAAATTTAGACCATGTCAATCAAAATCTCAGCAGACCGTTTTGGTAGGAACTGAGATTCTGAACTCTATATGGAATGGCAAAGGATCAAAGACAGAGAACTGCATCGACAGAAAAAGAAGACAGAGTCCAGACACAGACCCACACGCATATATAAGGTCAACTGATTTTTTTTTTAGTATTCGAAAAATATAAATTTATTTCATTCTTTTTAACGTCCACATATTTCCTTCAACTTGAAAGATTTTTTCCTTGTTCTCAATGATGATTATTTATGCAGTTTCAAATTCTTTTCTTTTCTTTTTTTTCTTGCCCCTCAAATTATTTTATTACTGCAAGCAATGTTAAAATAATATCCCTGGGAGCAGAACTGCTACAATGAAAGCTCATGTACCATTGTTTTCAAAAGGAAAATAATAGTTACAAACCTTGCAGAGGTTAGTATGCCTTTTATATAAAACCTCAAAGGAGGAACTGCTTTACAAAGAGTTAAGTAAAAGTGCAGGTCATTTCTGCAACAGGTTAAAATGGTCATTTATTATTATTCACAAGTCAGTCACAGTGCTGGATGAATGATTCTTCTAATCTTGGCTAGGCTAATTATATAGCTCAGTCAGTTTTGTTGGCTAGGTCATCTGCTGATCTTGCCTGGGTACTCTTAGAGGACCTCTTAGCATGTTTTCTATAGACCTATCCTAAGGATGGAGGTCAATTGACTTTAATAAAATGCCAAGGCAATTCAAAGAGAAAAGGTAACATTAAAAAAAAAAAGAGGTGCTAGAAGAGTTGGATAGCTTTCTGCCCACCCCACACACACACACCCGCTCCCCAAAATAAGAGTGAAAGAGAAAGAGCGAGAGAAGGCAAGATAACTTCAAGTCATAAATTACACATTAAACAAAAATGGAGAAAACCTTGGAGATAAATAGCATGTGTCTATACTATGTAACTCACTGCCATGGTCAATTCCAACTCACAGCACCCTATAGGACAGAGTAGAACGGTTTCTGAGTTTGAAGACTATAACTCTCCTATTGTGTAAAGACAAGCTAAAACAAAATATTTAAAAGACAAATACACAATTTTAAAATGTGCAAAAGACTTCAACAAATCTTTCACCCAAGAAGATATATGGATGGAAATAAGCACATGAATGATATTCAGTACCACCAGATGTTATTTTAAGAGGAGAAAGAGCTCCATCAGTTATGATCATTATTAAAGACATATGAGTTAACACCCAATGCAAGATACAGAATATTTTCTTCACCCTCAGAGTTCCCTTGTGCAGTCCCCATCTCAATTAGTTAACTTCTGATTTGATTTACAAGCCTCAGGCTATCAATGGAAACATACAGTATCTGTTATCTTGTGTCTGGTTATTTTGTAGTACATACCAGGGCTCATACCTTTTAACTAATCCACATCATTTCCTGTATGCATGGTTATGCCAACCAACTGGAAAACCCAAGTGAGATGTTACTCTTGACTAGACGAAGAACTAGAGAAGAAACTGAAATGTTCATCAGTTTCCAGGCTAGGTGTGTGCTATGAAACCATGGCTACTTTAGTTAGAATGTATCTTAACAGAGAAAAAAATAGAAGCAGTTTAATACGTATTGCTTAGTTAACACAATCATAACAAAACAAAAACAACATTAAAAATATGGCAGACCAGTTTTACTTTTAAACACAAAATCCTATACATTGTCAACTTACTGGCAACATTAAGAAAAAAAAGATAAGCAAGACTTAAAAAAAAAAAGACTTCCTACTAGGAAATGTAATTTTAAGAAAGGACTATGCCCATAGTGGTCACAAAAACTATATCTAACAATAAAAAAATTTAAATGCAAAATTTTATGAAAAATACAACAGCACATTATGAAAAACATAAAGGAAGGCACAGAGAATGGAGAATCATATCATGTTTCCAGTTTAGGTTGGTTCTGATTAAAATTCTTCTCCAAGGAATATGTAAGTTATTCAAGATATTCAAAGGCCTGATGTGGCAGTTATTAATTGCTTATAACAAACCTTTTTTAGTGGCTTAGAAGGACATTTATGTTGCTTACAAATCTGCAACTGGGACTCAGTAGCATCTAGCAACAACAAGGCGACACACACGAAAAGAAACCATAATCATGATAGAGGCAAAAATAGCCAACTGGAAGATATAATGGAAGAGAAAACCACATTCACCATGGGCAACAAAAGAAGTAAGATACTTAGATAACATAAATTTAACAAGAAACGTTTAAAATCTATAATGACGAACACCCCTGAAAGCCACACAAGGGTAGATTTCTATCAACGGAGCGGCACCCTTTGTTCCTAGTTGGGATGCCTCAACAATCAGTTCATGTGACCTCAGCAGAAACACCTACAAGACTTCTTCTGGAATGAAACCAGCTGACACTAAAATTCTATGAACTCTACGGAGAGACCAGCCCTGCCAGTTAGTAAACAAGACCTATCAACAAAACCTAGCACGTTTCTTTATCCCTGTGAGTGAGTGAGTGAGTGAGTGAGTGAGTGAGTGAGTGAGTGAGTGAATAATCCTGAAACTATCCTATGCATGTTGTAGGATTAAGTAAGTAAATGTGTAGATACAAGCATAACCAGGGAACGGGAAAGGACAAGAAGAATGCTGTGGAGTTGGGCTGGAATACTAGTTTTCAGTATCAACTCATAAATGCCATTATCTTTCAACTCCACATTTCCACACACTTTCTGAAGCCCCCTCATGTATCATTTCTTACTGCTGTCTATTAGCAGGGCCTAGAAACAATGCTACTCCAATAGCAGTGTCAAAAAAACAAGGTTCTGGGGGAGAAATGGCTGGTTCAAAGCTCCGACAGTGAAGGTACAAGATGATCTTAAAATAAATGCTATGCCAAAAAGTTTGAAAGTACCTAAATGGCACAGGAGCCAACTTGAAATGACAATCTGGGCTTCGAAATAAGCTCAGGGTCATTGACCACAGCCACCGAGGAAAAGAGAAGTCAGGTCGGCTCTTTGGGGAAGGAGTGCCATCTGCCACCTTCTTCGGTAAAGACAAATTCAGGAAAGAGTCACCAACAGATGTGAAGTGTAAGTAGGAAAGTCTTATGAATATCAGAATCTTTCCCCGATCTTAGTCTCCCTAGAGATGGTGCACTAGTTTCAAAAGGAAAGCAGTAAGTATGCCGTGGAGGAGCTAGACAACTCCTTGATTAAAACTAACATGCCAATCAGGGGCTAGACAGAAAAGAGTTAGCACAGCAGGTTGGCTGCTCTCCTCTGAAAGGTCTACCTACAAGATTGGCTCTGGGAATTTGGGGTTTGAAGGTTCCCATCATTCTCCAATGTTAAGACTAGTTCCTGGTGCCTAACCTGGATATCCAAATACGGTTCATGCTGAATCCCTGCTTTCTTTCTGGGGGTCTAGAACATCTGTGTGTGCCAAGGAGAGGCTATCTAAGAAACCACCTCCAGTCAAAGTCCTGGGTGTTGAGTCTCTGAGGAGCTTCCCCAAGTAACAACACTTCATAACTTGTCGCTGGGGTAATTACTTAAGTACATCCCATGGAATTCACTGGGAAAGAGTGCTGGAAGCTTGTGCATGGCTTCCGAGACTCTATCCCTTGCACCTTTTCCCTTCCTGATTCTGCTTTGTATCCTTTTTGCTAGACTAAATCACCCCCATAAGGATGACTATATCCTGACTCCTTCTAATAAATCACTGAACCTGAGTGTCCTCGGGGACTCCTGACACAGGGATAGATGGACATCATCATGAGTCTCCAGACGGATACAACATCACTTTAGTGGGATTCCAGTTGGGTGCCACACCTGAACCTAGTCATAATGAAATATGTGGCAATGTCAGGTTGAAGGACATTCTATAAAATAACTGGCCAAAAGTCTCTAAAATGCCATTGTCTGAGCAGAAGCATGCAAAGGCAAGCCAAGCACCTGTCTGAGGAGTGGAGAAAAGGGTAAGAACACCGATAAACAAAGACTATCGTTTATGAAATCAGAGTTGTCTTAAAAGGGAGAGCCATGAATGTGCGATCCCACTGCAGACACTTGCTCGCCGCGTTCCCGTAAATGCGTACTTACACAGCACTCTGTCCAGTAGATATGAAGGAAGGGGAAAGTGAGCAGAGCTTTGTTTCCTTCTTTGGGCAGCAGCTCCTCCTTGAACTGCACAAAATTAGATTCCAAGTGGATCATCTTTGGAGCCCGGCCATACGACCTATGAACAAGTTATAAAAAGTCAAGGAGGAAACAACTCAAGAAAGCTGAGGAAAAATAGACAGCCTGAACCAGATCAGTGAGTCCAGAAGTATATGTATTAATAATCGCTTTGACCAAAACTATTCTATGAGTTACTTTTAACACTATTCAATTACATACCAAAGTTCCCTGTTCATAAAAATTTTCATTTTATTCAATGAAGCTTACACAATACCTATTCTTCCATGTACTCATTTTAACCAGCCAGGCCATTCCAACAATACAGCTTCTGAACGATGGATTTTATTAACCGCAGTGTAACTTCATCTCTAAATCACCATAAAAAGAAGAAAAGAATATTCCCGAAGGTAACATTCAAGTTTAAGTATTAACTCTTTTAGCTGCATTAGCTAAGCCTTTTGCAATCGGTATTTTCCAAGAAAGCAAGCTGTCTAGAAAGAGATTAAGTGTTTATTCATAAAGCAGAAATTAAGTTGTGGTATAAACCTTTTATTGTCAAGAGCTATAGCGCCACGGAGAAATCCCACTAGCTTACATACATCTAAAAGCTATCCAAGAAAATGGACACTGTATTACTATTATTCTTAAATCAGTATGCTCCATTTGTCTTTTTTCAATCACTGTACATCCAACTCTGGGTGTCGCTTATACACATCTCTACCTGGATTACTCAATCTAAGGAATCTCTGTGTTTCAGTAAATTGAAACCAATCACATTTATGTGACTGTGCTTATGCTTGAATTTGTATACTTTCTATGTGCAGCTATTCTTTTCCTATCTTATAAGAATTAAATCATCAAGTTTTCTTCTTCCATCTTTTTTCTCTGCTGGTTTGAAAATTCAACCAGCTTTTCTATCCTGCTGCTGGCTACATTTTTACTTTTAATACACATACAATTACATTTTTCTTTCAAAGGCTAAAAACATCTATCCTTCTCTTGGGCAAGACAAGACAGTATACTTTCTTTTCTCTCCCAGTACACCTAAAATATTATGGGGTTTTTTTTAATCGTTTTATTAGGGGTTCATACGACTCTTATCATAATCCATACACACATCAATTGTGTAAAGTACATTTGTACATTCATTGCCCTTGTCATTCTCAAGACATTTGCTCTCCACCTAAGCCCCCGGCATCAGGTCCTCATTATTATGGTTTTTTTTTAATTGTTTAACTTCACAAAATACTCTTATGTCTTATTTGTTTGCCATTTCTTTCGTTGTGTTAAGTGTGGATTCATTTTTCTTCCTGTTGGGAAGGATGGATGGATGCTAATCAGCTGACTGATTCCTAGCAAGCGTACGTGCAACAGAACAAAACATTGCGCGGTCCTATAGCATTTCAACAATCACTGGCATATTCACGCCCATTACTACAACTACTCCATCTCACCCAGTTTCCTCACCCTCACTGGTCCTCTACCTCACCAAACATAGCGGCCTCTTCCAGCAACTGACCCAGCCCACGATGAGTCAAAGCAAGCAAGCCACACATGCTCTGTTGTAAGCCAGGGGGTGTTCACTAAATTGTCAAAAGTAAAATGGCAGGCTCTCCTTCCTAGCAGTCTGCTAAAATCTGTCCACCTTGGAAAGTATTTGAAATCACAGTGCCACTGTGTCTAACATCAGAGCAGCATGCATTTTTCTTCTTCTCTGAGGTACACCCTTTAATTATTTAAGTATTTACTTATTAACCCCTTATAATGCAGAGAGACAGAAGATTCCTCATCTCATAAATGTTGACATTTACATATTTACAGCAGTGCTTCCCAGCTACCTCCAAATAAAGGCACGCAGTGAAAATAGCTGGACGGGACAGCACCTATGACTCAGAACCCAAGCCCTAGGATCGGAGAGGACACCCGCTGCTCTCGCTTCACTCGGGCAAGGAGCGAGAGTAGCGGACGGAGTCTCTGCTATGGCATGGCCGTCTGATTAGACACCGGAATCTTCGTTCACAGGTACTTCTCCTCCAAACCTCGAGAATGCTGGTCTTAAATGTTGCATTGTGGTACGTTTTAAATGCTGCTGTTGCGAGACTGGACAGTCACTCTCATTCCATCTGTTTTTTTAGGTGTGTCTTTTGTGTGCTGCTTTGATTTCGTTCGGCTTTCATTCTGCTTGGCTTCGTACAAACTCCTGGCTCTTCACTCCTGGAAAAATCTTGACCATTTGCTCTTCTGGAAATGCCTGCTCTTCACTCCCTGTATTCTCTCCTCTGAAACACCTACTAGATAGCGATTGAAATGTCTGGATTATCCTCCATGGCCCAACTTTTCTTTCCCTTTCTTTTTAAAAAAATAAGTTTATTGGGGGCTCATACAATTCTTATCACAATCCATACATCCATCATGTCAAGCACATATGTACATTTGTTGCCATCATCATCCTCAAAACATTTGCCTTCTACTTGAGCCCTTAATATCACCTGCTCATTTTCCCCCCTACCTCCCCAATCCGCCCCTTCATAATTCATAAATCATTATTATTTTGTCATATGTTACACTGTTCGACATCTTCTGCCGCCCTCTTCTCTGCTGTCCATCCCCCAGGGAGGAGGCCATATGTAGATTCTTGTCATCGGTTTGCCTTTCTACCCCACATTCCCTCACCATCCAGGCATCGCCACTCTCACCACTGGTCCTGACGGAGTCATCTGTCCTGGATTCCGTGTTTCCAGTTCCTATCTGTACCAATGTACATCCTCTGGTCTAGCCAGATTTGTAAAGCAGAATTGGGATCATGATAGTGTGGGGGAGGAAGGGCCCAACTTTTTTTCCATGTGTTCCACCTCCAACCTTAGCATTAATCTAAAGAGTTGCGAAACTCCATTTTCCAACCTCCAAATGCGTTCTGTGGCTATTCAGCTACTCACTGCATCATCTAAAGTTTCTGCTTCAACTTTTTAATTAGCAAAATTAATTAAAAATCAATTTTTTGTTTTATGACCATACATTATAATGTCAAATAGTGCTATAAAGTGTTTAACACACACCAAAATACCAGCTGTCAACCTCATCCATCTCTAATCTCCCCCCTACATTAGTTTTCCAGGGCTGCAAAAACCAATTACCCCAAATTTAGAAGCTTAAAATAACAGGACATATTCCCTCGCAATCTTGGAGACCAGAAGTCTAAAATCATAGAGAGTATCAGCAGGGTTGCTTGTCTCAGAAGCTCTGAGGGCAAATCTGTTCCATGCCTCTCTCACCTGCTGGAGGCTGCTGGCGAGCCCTGGTGCCCCTTGGCTTGTGGACACATCATCCCAGTCTATTATCTCTTCCCTCAATCTAAACATGACCTTCTCCCTCTGCATCTTCTCCTTTTCTGTGTTTTATAAAGACTCTCACCATTGGACTTAGTGTGCATCATGACCCAGGATGATCTGGTCTGGATACATTCAGAGGTTCCAAGTAGATCCATCTTTTGGGGACCACAATTTAACTCATGACATCCTCCACCCCAAGTCTTTCAGTTAGTTCTTCTGGTACTGATCTCTGCTCCTAAGCCACCTGCTGTCACTTCCTGAGATGTCAATTCTAAGCCTGGTCTCAAAGTCTGTAATGGAATATGCAGATTCAGCTGTCTGCCCATGTCCTTCATCCCTCTAGCTCCCCCACTTCTATTAGAGTTCACATTAAGTCCACACGCTGGGTTTCCTTTCTTACTGAACATGAAAGCACTGTTCACTAAGGAACCAAAGAACACACATCATTATTAAAAAGTTTCATAATGTAACTTTGGTTCTTCTTAGAGTGGATGTCTGCCTCCATCTTTTGTTTTCTTTCAATGCCAACATTTTCATTCTCAAACTCTCCAAGAGAATTGCTGCACAGCTAAAGCATCAAGTAAACTACCAGCTTCTTTTTCCTCAGAAGTCTACAATCCACATGCTCAGCTGGGCTCCATTCCATTTCCTAAGCCTGATAGAGCTCCTCCTCTGGTAGATTGCTAAAAGAAAGCATCAGTCTTTTTCCTGGGCCACTCCATTCCTCCAGGGATGGGATTCTCTACTCTGATGCTGGAGAGCCTGGTCTGTGAACTTGGTCTGGCTGCAGTTTTAGATCTGAGCTACACTGGGCATGGGGTTAGCACTGTTAATGGATTTGGACTTTCTTCTGGTCCAGTGTTTCCCAGAGCAAGTGATACCACTCCAGGGGGTGTGGAGGAAGAGCAGGGGGAGCATGACACTGGAATGATCCAGAGGGGCTGCATAAGCAGATACCTACCCTTTATCCTGAATCATAGGTTATAGTGAAACCCTGGTAGTGTCGTGGGTTAGGCAGTGCGCTGCTAAGCACAAGGGCAGCAGTTTGAAATCACCAGCTGCTCCAATGGAAGATGAGTCGTTCTACTCTTAGAAACTCACAGGGGCAATTCAACCCTACCTTGTAGGGTAGCGTTTGTTAGGTCTTAATAGCAAAAAGGCTTTAATTGCTGAGGGGGTAGGTTGGGGGGGTGGGAGGCAGTAGTCCAAATAAGTTTGGGAACCTATGGCCCAGTCCTTGTTTTCACAACAGCATTTTTCTCCAGTCACTTCCATTTGGGCTAGGGGTGGAGCTCTTGTACCTACCTGTCTTCTCCCCTTCTAGCCTCAGCGTCACCCCAAACGTTCAAAGCCCTGAGCCAGCGCTGCTTCCTTGCTTCAGTGGCCTACTTACTGAGAAGCCACTTCTGTGGATCTTATTGTCAACTTTCTTAGTTCCGTGCCCAAGTCCCCATCTTTCTTAGCTTGGCTACTATTATCTCTTCCCTTTCTTTCTGACCTGAAACTATATGTCTTTTCAATCCTTTAGTCTCATTTCCTGAGGGGTTCAGGCAGATGAAGAGATGAATGCCTGCATTAAACCGATGCCGTTTTTGTATTTCATTTTTTGTTGTTGAGTTTTTTGTGCATAACCCCTCCTGCTAGTTTCATGAATACACTTCCCAGTTCTATCTCTATGAGTTTGACTAATGTATGCTTATTTTTAAAACCTTTCGGCCTATTCTACAACTTCAGATATTAAATCCTTACACCTGGTGAACTTGCTTCTCTCTTTCATGGCACTGGGCTTCCTCAGATGTTGAGCAATCCTCTAAGAAAATTCTCCTACATTCTGTACTCTTTAATTTAGCCAGAATTGAAATTACACGGGCATGAAGAATGACAGAAATGTTCTATACACCCAGGTTAAAAGTAGTTTACCTTTGACATTTTCCATGAACAATATCAAATCTTACCAGAAACAAGTTTTCCAATACCAATTTTCAAAGCCAGCCAGTTACTCTGGACATGTCGCTAAATGAACAATTACATGCACACAATCAGGCAACTAGAATTGTGGGTCTGGCTTTTTGTCCACTCTAATAACATTTTCCAGTTGCCTTCTCATCCTTAGGGCCCAGGCTGGGGAGAGGCTGGCTGTCTGCTGCTGAGAGGAGTACAAGCTGCCATTCTTAGTTATGAAGATTCCAAAGTGACTCTCTAAAAATGGGTCTTTAATTTAAAAAGTACATCAGGTTTACCACCCCTTCTCCTTAAAACAATCAACATAATTCCTGAAGAATAAGCCCCACAGATGTAACGGCATTCCGTTGATTTCTCACAGGCTTTAGAGTCCAAGCTGCAGCCCTAACCACTACAGCTGCTCGTACAAGTGGCCAAAGGGGCGGAGGAGCTGCGGTCCAGACCCAGCGCACTCACCTCCTCCACTCCACTGGTTCTCTTGGAAGCTGCTGGGAAAGTGTTGGATAAATAGAGGTGAACAGATTCTGATCTCCAGCACCTGTAAGAGAAGAAAAATATATGAAAAAGTCCACTTATGGTATTTTTCAGGTGAAGATGCAAAAATGGGCTCTAAAATTTATCAAATTGATATTTCTATATAATTCTATATTCAGAAAAAAAGAGATATCATAAAACAAAATCTTTATGCACCTTTCAATACCTCATCTCACCAAAGCCTACATCCAGCATGGCCTAGCGACTCTGTGGGGTGGCTGTGGGTGGGTCTGACTACCACTAGAGGAAGATGAGCCTCAGAAAGGCTGAGTGATCAGAGACCACGCTAGCCTGAGTCCACCCAGTGGGGCTCAGGGTCAGGCTCTACACCCAGGGCACACAGCTTCCTTCAACTTGGAGACACTGGCCCTGAAACTTTATGTGGCAAAGTGAGCATGGATTTCTTCATCAAAATAAACTCAGTTTCCCCTCAAAGGTCAGCAGGAGCACATGCTATGCAGTCACCCACGTGCACTCATCTATCCCTCACAGTAATCCCGGGGGGAGAGGGCAGACGAGCCGCTGCCTCACAGCTGAAGAAGGTGGGCGCCCTTCTCTCTGAGATCCCCGTTACCAGCCCAGTAATTCTTACGTCCCACTGTATGCTCGGTTTTAATTCAGCTCTTTTCTTCTAACTTTCACAGAACTGAAAAATCCATTTACTTCTCATAAAATGCCAGTATAACTACACTGTACTTAAAGCGAAAACAGAGCCTTTTAATATAGACGAATAAAATTCCTATACTCAGAAGATCCTCTCAGATGAAGCTAACCCAGATTCCAAATGGCTTTATATTGATCATGTGAAATCACAGGAAACTGATGAGGCTATTAGCCCATTTGCTCATTTTGTTATGAACCTAAAGAAAAAATCTCACAAAAACATGTAACAATGTCAGTTCACTGTAGAGAGTAATGGATTTCTGGTCCTTATTAGCTGTATGCAGGTTGCAGAGGCAGGAGACACGGTGGCCAGACAAGAACACTGGCAGCTTCACTACCAGAGTTCAAGTCTCAGCTCCACCATTCCCAAGCTTTATCATAGATCAGTTAACCTTCCTGTGCATGCCTCTGTGAAAGAGGGCTAAGTACTATACTGCTAACTGTAATGTCATCAGTTCAAACACACCAGCTGCTCCTTGGGAGAAAGATGAGGCAGCCAGCCCCTGTAAAGATTACAGCCTTGGAAACCCTATATAGGGTCACTATGAGTCAAAAATGACTACACGGTAATTGGTTTGGTTTTGAGTTTTGGTACCTTCATTAACTACATGTGAAATGAGGGTAGAGTTGCAGGGAATATAGGTCCTTGTAATGAAATTCAAAAATATACTCTGCCACCGAGTCAATACTGACACATAACAACCCTATAGGGCAGTATAGAACAGTCCCAGTGAGATTCTGAGACTATAAATCTTTCCGGGACTAAAAAAGCCCTGTTATTCTCCCTAGGAGTCGCTGGTGGTTTTGAACCGGTGACCTTGTGGTTCAGAGCCCAACTCATAACCACTATGCCATCAGGGTTCCTAACCTTGTAACAAAGCCTCACATAAATGCATAAGCAGCACATATAAAAAAATGGAAATCCCTCTCCCACTACCACCCTGAGCCCCAAACCTATTTTCTGGGGGAAACCTAGGCAAACCTCGGACTTACCTGTCAGGAGCTCTGTCAGGAACCACTGCCTAAACTCCATCATGGAATTAATCCCTAGTATGTGGCCTAGACTTAATGTTAAGACTGTGGGCCAATAAGCACATCTGCTGAGGACAAAGATCTTGTCTGAGATAATTGAGAACTTAACCTGTTCTGGCCCACTGGAGCTCCAAACTGCCTGGTAAGAATATTAGGGGGAAAGATGCCATCAAGATTTTCTTAGAATACAAAGCTATTACTAGCTGTAACATCCTTAAATCTTTACACCAAGTATTACAAAAATCAGAGATGCCTTTTAAGATGGGCACAGAAAAGGGATAGAGCTTAGCCATAAATCCCCCAAAGAGGACGGACAACAGAAAAGTAGGTGAAGGGAAACGTCAGACAGTGCAAGATATGACAAAATAATAATTTGTAAATTATCAAGGGTTCATGAGGGAGGGGGGGTAATGAGCTTATGCCAGGGGCTTGGGTGGAGAGCGGATGTTTTGAGAATGATGAGGGCAATGAATGTACAAATGTGTTTTACACAATTTATGTATGTATGGATTGTGATAAGATTTGTATGAGCCCCTAATAAAACGATTAAAAAAAAAAAACCCAAAGAATTAAGTCTCCACTCACATGACAGGCAATTAAATGAACAACATATACACTGTTTCCTGAAATAGCCCAACCGTTAAGTTAAAAAAAAAAAGGCATGAGTACTTTGAGGCCTGAACTGTCAATGTAGAGGTACTTCCAGGCAGGCGGACTTTCACTGACAACCCATGGGCCACAGAGGTCTGAGAAAGATTCTACTGCCCATGAAAAAGCCACTCAGAGCAAAACTGGGGCTTACAATGGATGCACCCATGCTCGGGGAGCCCTGTTCAGAGACTCGCCAGGTTTATTTTCCTAACTCAAGAGGCAAGTAGGGCCTTTTATTTTAATCACTAAGATTTCTGCTTTTGGTGGGGGAGAGGGGTATGAATAAAAAATAAAAGTAATTCAAGCACAATTCTACTTAAATAAATGTGTATGTGTGTGTGTGTGTGTGTGTGTGTGTGTGTGTGTGTACAAACAAACATACGCACTGCCCTGTTCGCATTGCTAACAAAGAAAGCGCATGGAGAAATTATGAGGTGGGTGAGCCAGGGGAGCAGTGTCACCTGGTGATGGTCTCTTTAGGACTGGGTGCACCCTGTCTGGTACTGTGCTAGGCCAGGTTGACTAGACAAACAAATCCAGAGACACATGTATGTAAGAGAGCTTTATTATCAAAGAGCACTTGTATATTGAGAAAACATCCCAACCCAGTCCAGATCAAGTCCATAAGTCCAATATTAGCCCATACGTCCAACACGAGTCCATAAATTCCTCTTCAGACTCATGTAGTCACTTGTAATGATGCTGAATGCAGGAAGATTAAGGGCTGGTGGGTGAAAAGCCTTCTGGATCCAGTGGCACTGGAAGCATCTCAGGGCTGGCACAGGTCTCCAAATAGCTTCTGAGTGTGTCTCCACACAGCTTGTCAACAGGAAGGTGAAGCACAGAGAGGAAGTTCCCAAAATCCTCATGAGAAAGTCATGCCCACAAGGAGGCATCATCAGTCTGTGAATTCTACCCTTTCGCCCGTAATGCCCTCAAGTTGACATGAGGGTATGTAACTACCACAGGTGCTTAAGTAGGCTGGAAAGACTGTTGAAGACCAGAAGCCACAAGAGAACTACGTGTGAACGGAGGTGTGATACAAACTTCCAGGACAGCTACCTGGCTAGGTATGCAAGTGCTGCTGGGCAGTGCTGGCTCTCTGCAAGCAGGCTGAAGTTAAACCCTACCTTCAGGGGATCCCAGCCCCAAGAATCACCCAGAAAGTAGGGTCAGGTCCTAGACTGCCTGTTACCAAATCAATGTTTTCTTCTTTTTTATGCCAATTGCATGTTCAGTTACATGCAGTCAAAATAGCTGACAGACTTTCAATAATTTATGATTATATTGCTGCATTCTCTCAGATTTTTGTAGACACATATTTAGGAAATTTTATGTAAAAAGAAGGCAAGCATTAAGTGCAGGGGAAAGAGAACTCAAAAGCAGTTTCAGTGAGAAGCATAACTAGGTCATATCACATTAAATCCAACTTAAATATTTATTCAAAAATTTAAAAACAGAAGGGCTTGGGACTCAGTTGTGAGGGTAAGGGTTCCTTCCATTCAACACATGCACAAATTTACTCCAACCAAACCTGGCTAACCATGTCTCTGTGATCAGTGGGTGGCTGGAGAAAGTTCTCTCAGTAATACACTGATCTTGGTCTTATCAGGGTGCCTTCAAATGGGGGGGATAGTTTTATGCCAGGGGGGCGCAACTTTGAACTCAAGCTTAGTATCATATTTTTTTACAAAATTGAAGTGAACATCTTCCCAAGTCATTGAAGCTTTGCAACAAGCTTACAGGAATGCTGCCTCTCGCGAAACAACAGTGTTTAGATGGAGCAAGCGTTTTAAAGACAGTCGGGAAGAACCCCAAAACTGAGCAAGGGCAAAAGAGCACCTCATAAAGTTACCTTGTGGGATTATACTGAGACTTTACCCAGCTTTGCCTCCCCCAATATGCCAAACATTTGAGGCATGTGGTGGGATGTCAGATGCTTAGAGATATCCTCCCTGAAGGCAGTCAGCTGCCAGACACTGTCTGGTCCACCACAGGTGGAGCCCACTCCCTGCTGTTAAGGACAATGGGTTACTTTTCCCTACATTGTGGCCAACAGTCTGTTCCCTGTAGGTGGGGTTTACATCCTACTCATAATGGTTTCTATAGTGAACCAGAGAACAGGTCAAACTGGTTCAGTGACATCCAAAATTAAGCTGCCTCCCTGAATCTAGGCTCTGCCCATCTTGTCACATGTGTACCCCCAATATCTCCCCTCCCTATTGTGTGGATACCCCAGATTGTCCCCCTCTCATTACTGTAGTACCTATAGCACAACCTCTTCCTGTGACATGTCGGCTCTTGCCATATTCTCTCACCTGTCCTCGCTCTCCTGTTCCCTTTCCCCTTATCCTCCTTCCCCTCCCCCTCTCTCCTGCCCTAGGGTCTCCCATCTCTACCGGGAACCACAGGAACCACCACACGGGGCTGAGGTGAGCATGCTACCATGAAATGTGTCTGACTCCATGATTTCAATCTCTCTTCTTTCTCTCATGCTCTCTATGACTTTACTATAATCTTTACTTATTATAACTGTACAATTGTGCCTATCGAACCCGTGATTAGTTGTCGGGGGCTGGCATTTCCCCCACACAGTGTCTGTGTGTGGGATCCACGGAGGCAATCTTTTTTTTTTTTTTC